GCTCGAGCAGTGGCCCCTCAGCGCCTCGATGGCAACGCACGTTAACAGCGTATTTATTTTACTTTCTAACTCCAACCAGGAGCTTTTGTCGTCTAAAACTATATGCAATTATTTCCCAGCGTTAACCAGGAAAGCAGCTACTCACGAAAGAGTAGGGATGAGATTGCGTATTATTTTGGCTTAAAGCCTTTCAACAAACGACATTGGTCTAATTTTCCAAATCCTTGTGATATCACATCTGAGATGTTTCGCTCATATTTCAGGGGTTGCTACTACTCTCATGGGAGACAATATCATGAGCACAACTAAGTTACCGGTCTAGTTTCGCTTTGTTTATCGAACCAAGCATACAGACAGGAAACGTAAGGAAACAGCTAACTAACTAACAAAATCTACCTCTTAACACGTCTAATTAGGGGTTTCACTTGTACAAACAGCAGCTGGGCACGGCAGCGCGCTCGAGTCTCTTCTGCATATTAATGGTGGAAAGATAGTGATGTCAGTCTTTTCATCAAACTCTCGGCCAGCAGAAGAAAAAAATATATTCAACTAAATGTTAAGCCTATATGTTAATGCCATGACAATGTTTTATGAACTGGAACAGGGTTTCCGCTGTAACATCTCCTCGTGTGCGCAAGGCTTCAATTGAAAAAGTCCCTGTGAGCGGTGTTACGTTTTACACACTGCGTATTCGTAAACCGCGTCGTCTCCAGGAACAGATTCTCACATTTTCAAAGGGAGGTTGCAGCACAGGACCTGCACCTGATTTGTATTGTTACCTGAATAGCACTTGGCTCAAGTCATGTGCATTGCAGTCTTCATTTGACATTAGGGAGATTGTGACGCAGGCTGGCGCTCCAGCGGCTATGAGAAACAGACTTCGGATGCTGCGGGGGAAGGTCGAGAGAGAATTAGCATTTCTGTCACATTTTCATGTCTTCAAATGAAACTTGTGAAAATACTGTAGGTTTAAATAAAGCACAACTAAAGCCAGATGAAAATGAAACCATCTGACATTTTGAAATCGAGTTCAGACAAAAAAAGGGGAAAACAGTGAGCAGTGTAGCAGAGCAAAAGGCAGTTAAAATGAAGGTCTATAACTCATTTAGTTGGCTTCGTGGCCAGTTGGAAGATCCCAGGGAACCCAGAGATCCAATTCATTTCCATTGGGTGGATCCGCATCCAAGGAGGACGCATTCAGGTCCCACTGTCCCATTCAGGCCTGACTTCCTGCTGCCCAAGCAGAATGAATGTTTGGTGTTAAAGGACCATCTGGAAAAATGAGAGGTGCTCCAGGGGAAGAAACGAGAGGACAGAGGGGGGATGAAGCAATGCAAGAGGGGGAACGGTGGGATATTTAGTCTTTTCAGTCAGAGGTACGGCCCAGAGATGGCTCTCATGGGAGCCTAATCACCAGTTGTTTTTCATACATTGCTGAGAAAGTGTCCGACTGGCTCTCTGAACTGAGGAGTTCCTCAAGTGTCAATCCCGGGACTTGTCTTATTCACTTTTCACATGCCTCCTTTAAACACATTTAGCTCCTTCTCTTGCTGTCTTTATTGGGCTTTTTACAGTTCGACAATTTGGACATTTTTTGTTGTGATATGATACAAAATCCGTCGATGAATATTCAATATTATGTTTTTTGATTTTTGTATTTCACAGATGTAACACCCGTCCCATGTAGCTACATGGTAACAAGTGAATCTGCTAGGTGTAGTGGTACTCCTTTTACAAATTAATATTATTGTCTCTTTTGGAAGGTTATTCTTTTGTTTCAGTTTTAGTTTATTTAACTTAATTTAATAATTTAATATTTCTATCTTATTATATTGTATATAATGTGTATCTTTTTATTATATTTTCTTCCCTGTACATGCTGCTGTGATTCCAAAATGTTTGAGGGATCAATGAAGTATCAATCTATCTATCTATGAAAAAGCAGCTACAATCCACAGCACGAGCCGACGCGGGAAACCGCTTTACCGGTTTGTAAACCTCCTGGTTTCCCTACGAGTGCCTGTTTGTGTTTATTCAGCAGCCGTGTCTGCCTCTGTTTCCTGATTCCTCAGACATTCATAAACATATTGCCGAAAATCTTAAAAACGCATATCCATCCAGCGTTTAGGATTGTATGAGTGAGCATTACATCACAGCCACGTATAAAGACATTTATTTAAGAAAATATATTAAATGAAGGACCGGAACGACCGGGATTCGAACCCCGTGGGGTAAAACATGAAAACATCAACCTGGCAGCTGCTCTGAGCGGCACGCTATGGACATTCACAAAAGGCTGTCACCCTTTGTATAATTTATCCATTACGTTGACGTAGATTACTATGGAGGTAAACCTTCTGGTGGGGTTGATCTCTCTTTTCTCTCATTCCGTCACAAATGGAGGTTTCCTGAATCAGATAACTCAGCTAACCAATAAGTCTACTTCATGTCGACACTCGTATCGACAACTGAATTCAAGGCAGAGCTCACAGTATGAAAGCTAAGCTAACCTGTATTATGGTAATGGTTATTCGCGATTAGCATCATAACTTGTTTACACTACTTTTTAGTCACAGCCAAAATGCACCATGCACAACCAAATCAAATTGTTTTAGAAATCTACACCCTGCTGTCTAAATGAATTGTGCCGGGCTACACAGACTTCCTACGCGGTTCCCACCAATGAGATCGCGGTGGAGTTAGTTTATACTTTAATGATTTGAAGTCAAAAATAGTATAAGTGGTTTTCATTTGTGAAGATTATCTTGGTGAAAAATGTCAATTGTATATTTGTGCAACCAGGCTTATTATTTTCTGTAATAATTCAAAACCACAGCCATGTTAACTTTGAAGGTTGTTCCACAGAAATACGTCAATCACTCTATTCTCAGAAATGGTTTGTAAGAATAACATTTCTACATATGCTCTTGTTCTGTGATAAATATGTAGTTGACAGAATATTAACCAAAATATGCATCTATGTTGACCCAAGAGTTTTTAGCAAGTACTTACTGTTTCTTTATCTAAAAAGTGGTTCATGTCCTGTCTTATTTTGTAGTTTTCTGCCACTCGTGTCCCCGGGTAACTTGACTTCCTGCCTTGTCCTGTCATCCCCTGTGATTGTCTGATCGTTTCCACCTGTGTCCAATCATCTGCACCTCCCTAGTGTATTTAAGCCGTGTGTCTCTTGTGTCACTTGTCGCGTCATTGTCTATCGTCCTGGATGTTCCTCGTGCCTGCCTGCCTTTTTGCCCCCTGTTCCTGTGTGTGTTTTTGCCCGTTGGCCTTTTGCCTTTTGATTTTTGACTATTAAAGTCTTCTTTTGTTACTCAAACGCTGCATTTGAGTCCTGCCTTCCCACGCACCCCTCACAGTTAGTCCGTCTTTTAAAAAAAAAATCAGATTTTATTAGTTGGTTATTAGATCAAATTGAGGAAGAGAAAAGAGTTCATTGGGAGAAACAAAGGCAATGACGACACAAATGGAAACAGACAAAAAGAGTAACAAGCTTGAGTCTAATAATCTTGAGTATTCGCTTTGACCTGCTGAGTACCGGCAGGTTAGGTGGGGTTTACACCCTTGTAAAAGCTGAAACAGTCTCAAGCGAAGTTGCCAGCGATGGAAAAGTTCAACAAACTGACTTTCAAATAATCGTTTAATAGTTCTGGCACGCATTGTATTGTTCTATGTGGCAAATCCCACCCATCTGCCACCGAGGCAGAGCCAACACAAATCAAAATAATTATCGTCAAAAAATTATTTGGTTCGTTTTTTTTGGGTCCCTGGTGAGAAAAGGGGGGTTGTGGAGAGATGGAAAAACTGGGAGGTTTATCCTCTCTGTCATGAATCTCTAGCTCCCCCAGTGGGGCGGCACGGGTCTCTCAAGCATTGTGCATCCGTTTGTTGTGTTCTTATCTGTCTTCCATTGAGCCGCAATAAAGAACAGATGCTCTGGGGATGGATGGCTAATCATAACACCCACCTGCACACACGTACACACAATGCAACACACACAGACACACACACACACACACACACACATCCACAGAACCAAGTCTAACTACTTAAACGGCTGGAATTGTGTATAAAACACACTGATTGAATGATCAGACGGGCCCAAAAAATAAAAATGCATGCGCCTGATCGGTCACACATTCAGAGGCAGTGATGTAGTGGTGGGGAGATGGAACAACGATCAGCTGCGACGCCTCAGGAGAGCAATTCCTGTAAACTGCTGAGGACGCGCGGCCAAGAATAGACTGTCGGGGGGGAAAAGGAAGGGGAGAGAAAGGAAAATGTGCACTGTCACTGCGACCGAACCACCGGCGAAGCCTTGTCACCTGCCAAGAAAAACAGCCATCACCAACAACACCGAAGGGGAAAGAGAGGAGAGACGGACAACGGCACACGGGCCGGACACAGAAAGAGGATATGGAAGCTGGTGTGAAATTAATAATTTGTGGTCAACTTGGAGGTTGAGGCCAGAGGCACGACGTGACCACCCGCATCCCCTGAAGATGATAATGCTGGCCACGAATTAGAGGTGAAGGGCCGGAACGGTAGACGAGGCCAAAGCTGCCGTTTGCGTGGAAGCAACCGATTGTTTTGAGTACAGTTTGTATTCTGATGTCACCCTGCAGCTCCTCTTTTTGCCGACGTACAGCGGAGAACTGAGCAGAGGAATTCCTCCACGTGTCAAACAGAAGGGGGTTGAGTGGCAAACTGACCACTTTAGGCACGGCCAGGCTAAGCTAGCTGCTAGGCCGATTCTCTCTCAACATCCACCTTGCGGAATTGGAATTCTGCTTCCAAGATGATCACACGAGTGTATTTTTGTGTTCAAAAGAACACAATCAAACAACAGTGTCAAAAATACACGCTTTCTCATTACTCATTACTTGTAAGATTTTAAACTTTTGAAGAAAAACAAACGTTTAATCACGATAAATGAATCTCAAAATGTGCGATTAATTAGTTGTTTTTTAATCTATTGACAGCCCTAAAAATACAAATACGAAGCACATATAAATACACACTTTAACATGCGGATTGATACAGCAATTAAGACCGTAAGAACATAGTTCCACGTAGTTGGACCACATATTATTGTAACTTGAATCAACAAAGATGGTGGTGGTGGTGATGACAGAGGAGGCTCCGTTTGTGTAGAAGCTGGAACCTCCCCCTTCCTCCAAAAAGAAGACTTTAGGGTCGGTCTTGCTTGACTTGACTGCCGTTTACTGATTCTATCTTCTTCTGGGTTTGCTGATTGCTGACAGATCGCGTCGCCATTGGCGGAGTCACATGGCCAGTCTCCACCCTGCAGCGTTCCCAAACACAGAAAACAACATTTTATTCTTGTAAATTAAAAGGAACATACCAATGCGTATACATTAAATATGACAGAATAACAGGCCTGCAAATCATTCAGACTAACATTCATCAATATAATATTGAACCATGTGTAAGTGATCAAACACAAAATTTGCTTGGTATCATGGGAGTTGCTGTATTCGCCACCTTCTTCTCCAAATTAGGATTCCTCAGTGTTCATTGTTCAGGTGTTTTTTTTTACCAGTAGCCAAGTTATCAGCAGAGGTCTTCGCATTGCAAAACAAATCCAGACCCAGTGATTAAAACCAGTGAAACACAATTGACACTGTAAACACAGTACATCTCACTACTATCAGCTCTTTTTACCTTATAACTTCCAGATGCCCAATGAGTAAAATCCTTCATCCATCAAGCTCTAAAACGTATGTCTAAAATGTGGCTTTAATCTGGTTAGGAAATCTATTCATGACAGCGTTTGGCCGACACGTGCGCAAAAGTGGATATGGCACCATTCAGAGGCAACCAAACGATGATTTGGTTGCTGTTTTGAAGGTTGATGGAAAACATTTGGCACAAAGTAAGTTCACAACGAATGAACACATGAGTGTTTTCATAGACATTGTAATGCGGAAAGTTGCAGAGTAGTGTCGGTCATGGCTGGTTGGCTCTGACTTCAAACACTATGTAGTGTGCCTGACACCCCTCCACCCCCACCACTACTGTATTGTTCTGAAAAGGTGCTAGAATTTGCAGGTCTATTCATTCTTCAATGGCTACTTGAGGCGGTTTAATCGTCTCAGACTTTGGCTGGCTCCCCCATAGTCCGAGCAGCACTGCCTCTAGAGCAGCACTGCCTCTACCCAAAAATGTTGGACAGACTCTGACATGCCATTTGTTGAGTCTGGCATCAATCGAAGAATCAGCCTTGGGGGATTCGGGGGCTCTCTTGGGCCCATTTTGGCCTCTTAGAAATCTAACATTAGCTCAAGTCAATATATTTTTTCATGCACTGTTTACCTGTCAAAACAACCTCACTAAATATATCAGTGTGCTTTAAAACTTGGTAGAGCAAAATGATTTACTCGGGACACGCGGATGAGTATGATGTCTTCTTTTCCACGGGCCAATTCATCCCCAAAAAACGTTGAACATCAAATCAAAAACGGAGTTCCCAGTTGGCGGGAGACTGCCAGCATAACCATACAGCTAGTGAACTCTGCTGAAGGCGCGGCTACGCAAGACTCTACCTGCTCGCTGCATTGGATCATTAACACATGACTGGATCCGTTCCAGTCTAATTGACTGGTTGATCCGCAAACAATAAGAACAGGTTTGATTTGGCCAGCGTGTCCCCTCCGTGGCTTTGAGTTGTGTCTTGACAGATTAGGTGAGCTGGGGAGCCGGAGGGAAGCAGGCAAATGGAAGGATCCAACGCTCACTCATGGAGCTGCAACGTGGAACCACAGCAACATGTCCTGTGACTTCAGCTAGCGGCCGGTGGATTTGCCGATTGGCCTGATGTTAAGCAATTCCAAACTGTTAATGCAGGTGCAACACACTCCCTACCCAAATGGTAGCACCCCCCCCCCCCTCCTCCTCCTCCCTTATGCGAGGTACTTTGGTCACATAAGGATATTTATTGAAAGCACACAAGATGAAAGAACAAGGTCAAACATCTTTTATGTAAAGCTAATAAGAAATAATTAAACCTGGTGTATAATTATGTCTGATTGGAAGTGGTTTAATAGATGACTGCGATTAGGCCGCGTTATCTGTTGATCGAAGGGCTCTGACAGATATGTAATTGCCCTCCGGGGGGCGATTGTGCGAGAACGCCCTATGGGAAGCCCAGATAATACGACTCCTTTCGTGAATTTGCAGCTTTCCGCGGCGACTAAATAGTCTTCGGGTAGCGATGAATGGCTGCCTCTCCAAGGGTCATTATGTTCCGGGTGAGCGGCTGCATTTAGAGGAGACAGCGAGTAAGCCATGGCTCTAGGACTAGAGCTATAAATCTACGTGTGTGTGTGTGTGTGTGTGTGTGTGTGTGTGTGTGTGTGTGTGTGTGTGTGTAAACAATATGTTTTTATGTCTCTGACTGAGTGCGCTGCCTCAAGGCTAACTTGATGCCGTTGGGGGAACTTGCCTGTGCTTGTCTGTCAATCAATTGCCACTTAAGAACACATATAATCAGGGTAGAGCCAAAGGAGTTACCTCTGACCTTTTAAAAGATCAGTGATTGGTGGATTACGACGTTAAACATCAGAATTCTGAAAGCACTCACTGTGAGCTGTGTGTCCCCAGGAGCCGCAGGTGGAAGGTCGGGTCAAAAAAGCTTGGGATACATGTGGACAGTTACATGGTGTTATGGATGATTGATTCTGTACCAAAAACACAATCCTTAGTTGTAAAGTAATCATACAATAAATAGTAATGTAATGTAGTGCATATGTAATGCAATAATGAATAAGAATTTCTGCTGAATACCCCCTCCTTCATTTAAGTAAAATAATGTTTTTATAATTTTGATATATTGATTTTTGTTATTATTATTACTGATATTATGGACTCGCAGAAGGTTTGTTCTCATTTTTCAGTCCTTATGAATACTTCTTTGACATTTTGAAAACGATCATAGTGCGCGTTTAATACCTTCACTTCTACAAGGGGAAAACTGCAAGAAAGCTTGAGTAACGACTCATACGTTCACCTCTGGTTCACACTCACACTCCCTCACCGACATTATGTATGTGTTCCTGTTAAGGCACATGTACTCATCATGACTGACTTTACAGGTTACCAACTGATGTTCTGAGACATGCACGGGCCTGCGGTTGGCGCAATGAGTCACTCACCTATAAAAACACCCTCTGCTGTGATTTACCTAAATCAATCAAATCAAAATAACAACTGGCAGGTTTGTTTGCATATAAACCTGCTTGCATGTTCAATATATATTTTATATATAATCACTTTCAGTACATTATGTATGAGAGTTTCTGAAAGACTTTTCAATATAATAAACTATTTTAGATAATCACTGAACATCTTTCCTTTTTTTAAGAGGTTATTAAAGATTTACTACTGTGTCCTGCACACACTGTATCTAAGAAGGGCACGTAGATGCAGTGACGTCTCCCCCTTTGGTTTGTGTATGTTTGGCATTTGGGCCGTCGCTATCTTGTTATATTTTTCAAACATAAATAACAGGAAGGCATTAAGACAGAATGAAGATATTTTTAAGCATGCCATTTTTGTGTATTTATAGCTCTGCGACAAGAACGTCAGGCTGTGTTCTTGCACCCCAAGCGACGTCTGCTTTATACTATCACATCTGTATAAGCAGGATGAGCCATGATAAGTAGACAGAAAGTAAAGTCAAAGCCTGACTGACACTATGAAACAACAAGTCTCTGTGATGGCGAGAAGGCAACCGCGGCCCCCGGGATCAAGGTAAAGCATTGTGACCAAAGCTGCATTGTTGTCGGTATTGTTACGATATAGCGAGACAAAAGTGAACAAAACATATATTTTCGCGCTGGGCTCAGTGCGTTCCAGCTAGTCCGGTTTCCTCCCTCACCCACCTCCCCCAGCAAGACGTCTTTCATGCCATTGTAGAGGTTGCATGCTGGAAACACAATGAACCGAGCTACAACTACACTCCCCTGGCACCAGCGCTGCATTGTGGGACCGGGTAGGAGATGCTGGGTCAAGGGAAGCGTCTGGGTCCTTTTGCACCCACAGCTAACAGTTTACAGATGTGAAAGCAAAGACAAAGCCAGCCGTGTAGAGATGTAGTGACCCTTCTTGTTATTACGAATCATTTTTCATGTTTTTTTTTAGCTTTCTAACTTTACAATATGAATTATTTTCATTTATCTGTTGGAGGCGAGACTACGTGGAGGGTAGAAATCCATCCGACAATTTAATCCAACCTATGGGAGTAACAAAAAAAGGTTTACGCATGTTAATAATTATATCAAAAGTATATTAATCCCCAACACTGAAAACGATGCTAACCCACAACATGTGCTGCGGTTGTATGGTTCTGGGTGCGTTACATGGTGGAGCCTCTTGTCTGCTAAAAGATGGGGTTACACGACGTGCGCAGTGACTGCTCTTAAGGTCTGCACACATGGAGTTATTGAGTGTCCCTCTTCCACTGGGCTCCACACGACTATGAAGGAAGGAATCTGTGTGTCCGTGTTGTCGGGGACGCAGTGCAGCGTCTAACGGCATGCTGAACACACTTCACTTCAGGTATCTGCAGACCGAGTCGTCCGCAGCGGGCTTCTACGGCCCGTTGCTCATTGACTTCAGTCAATTTTTGATGCAGGATGTTCTATTATAATGGCTAGCCATCGAAAAACACTTTACCTGCTAATGTCAAAACTACCAGTGTACAGCTGAAGTCACTGTTACGGACACTATAGAGAAGCGTTCTCAAGCATAACGACTAAATTATTCTTGATATTCCTCTTTCTTTGCCTACAAATCCGATTCGCTGATGGAAAAAAAGGATAATTTCTTTTACATACAAACAATCATTAACTCATCCACTTACTTACTGATGGAGGGAGTTTTGTAAACAGGTTCCCACAAGCCGTGTAATAATAAAGGGGACACTGGGAGTTTCTTCATCACCCTGAGCCATGGAGCCCAAGAGGTTAAGTCGGCGATGTGTTGCTTTGGTTAAAGAACCCCACCCCTCGACAGGCCCCTAGGCAACACCCATTCTCTCTAAAGGTAGCAATTACAGCCACCACCCACCTGAATCACACACTCACATGCAACCCCTATTCCTCTGTCTCCTGACCGTGACCCCACTGTCCATCTCCTGTATCTTCTCAGCCCCCCCCCCCACTCCCCTCTCCTAGAGATCAGATTACAGACCTATCTGATAACGGTAAACACTGGCTAAATGTGGGGCCGGGCCTGACTGGGTGCGTCGGTCTTGATGGGGAGGGGTGGGGGTTGTCGGTGAACAATGGGGGCGACCGACCTTTTCTGTTTCGACTTTTTCTCGTAGGAGCCAAACGTCACCGTTGAGGATGTCTGGAAAGAGAGCAAAACAACGCTCTGAAAAGTTCAGCCGTCCATGCTAATGCACATCTTATTCATAACGACACTAAGACGCCGATAACACCGCTGCTGTGCCTCAATTTAGTTTGTTCTCTATTTACACTTCCTAATCCTGAGTTCACAAGTGCGCTCACAATAATAAGTGTTTCTAAATGTAATATCTGGTAAGTGCAAATAAGCTCCGTTAGATCTGAGACAACGCTACTCTGTCCAAACTCTCCACACTATGGAAAACACGTACCAAATGACTTACCTTTTGGTGGCAGTGGAGGAAAACTAATGGGATCATTAGGTGTCATAGAGCACATGATGGTTGAAAACATGAATTTTGTGGCAGTCCATCTGGCCGATCAATGGTGCTGCTTCTAAAAAGTAAGTAAGTGAGTAACAATACGGTTTGAGGTTGGTAAGACAAGGCAAGTAGAGTCTGGTTTCACTACGAACTGATTGCTAATGTCCCTCCATACCTTCCATCTACAGCCATATATCTGAAAATGAGAAATATGGGTTTTTGGGAGACTGGGCAGACAACTAAAAGGTCTGATTAGAAAATGACAAATGAAAATCTAAACTTTTTGGGGAATTCGTTATGCACAGAACATGGTGGGCGGAGTTTCAGTAGAATGTTCGGCTTTTGTCTGTAGACATCTTGGTTTTTGTCCATTGCCAGTTTATTTTTTGCAACCAGAAGGGACACAGCAGGGATAAGATAAGTACAACTGATCTGAATAAGACAGTTCTAGATGACAAAAAAAGGATACAACTCGTTTTTATGAACAGAAAAGACTGAAAACTACCAATTGAAACCATAAACTCATGTTTTCCATCTTGACTGAGGCAATTAATCAAACAAAGTCCTATTCTCACACAAACAGTCTTGTTTTTGCAACCAGAAGAGTCACCTGGTACATTCTTAGCATTCCTTCATACTTTCTTAACAATATTGGGATAGTTTCATAAATAAAGTTAGACAGTAAGATCCGTTGCTACATATCAAAAGAAGGTCCAGTAACCAGCTCTACAAACAGGCTCGTGTGTGTTAACAGTGCGGCCACATACCAGTGTGACAGGCCTCTTTCAAGAAAACAGAAACACAAGTCCTGTGATCACCTGCTGAAGAGAGGCGGGACTCTCATCCGCCGCTACAAGAGCGCTGAGAGATGGACAGATTGGAAGACGGGGGGGGGCCGGATTCCTCAAACACAATCACACACGAGCTGCCGCCTGAGATCCGATCATCACCTGCAAAGATAGACGGACACGCGCGGATAAGGCCTGGACCCCCGCCATTGTGCAGTCACAAACACACAACCATAGAAGCCTCTGTGATTAGACTGGCTATGCTGCAATTACAGTTTCAATCATCCAAAGTAGACCTACAGGGTTTGGTCACGTCGGGTGAGCGGCAACATCACACAAAGGTTCGCTCACCAAACTGCGGTGGTCGTATTTTCCAAGCAAATACTTCAAAACCAGATTTACTTTAGAGGTCACGATCCAGGAGGTCGCAGCATCTGCTGCTGCTAGCTTGGACAAACACTCACGCAAACAAGTTGTGTAATGTACTTTTTCATGCTGGTAAAAAAACACACGCACACAAAAGAGCATGGAGTTGGGAGGCAGGCATCCCCTTGTAGGCATTTCTGCGGGCAGCTGGGCCTCTTTAGTGGTCAAAGCAGACGCAGACACAGTCAGAATTGGAGCAGCATGGAAATTGAAGGCCCTCATTAGCACAGATGATTCAGCCCCTTTTCACAGGGCTGTGTGTGTGCAAGGGGGGAGGGGGGGGGGGGTTTGCAGTGGGGGATGAGAGCTGCATCCGCTTAAATAAGTTGCTTATAACAGAAAGGTCGTGACCTCCAGTACTTGTAAACAGTTCATTTCTTCCCTGTATAGATGCCAGGAGCTAATAGCATTATTACCATTGCTGCTACCGTTGCATTGTTGTCGTCGCGTAATCCCTCGAAGGTAAGCAGCTCGAGACGCGTCGTCTAGGAGGTGGTGGACAAATGTCCTAGTTAAGTTATTCCGGGAAATGCACCTTTTGTACAAATCCAGTAGACATGGATCGACATTCGCATTGATTTGAAGCCCTGCTTCCAGCCACCTGATGAATGTAACACCTATATATATATATATATATATATATATATATATATATATATATATATATATATACACTCTCTGTTCGTATTTAGCAGTTTGTACTTATTACAGCAGCTTTAAGGTTTAAGGTTTGTCAAATGCTTCAATAAGCACCTTACTGTTTTTTTCCAAGTTGGCCTGGAAGTTGAAAATTCATTGATCTTGGAAACAGTTTGGAAATGACAAACTGATGGTTTTCTCAACCTTTCAAACTAAATCGTTTGTATGTTTTTTCAAGGACAAATTACCATCCATTGGATAACTGGCCACGGATAATTGGATGAAGTGTCCGTAGGTGGAGAGTAACCCCTTTAATTAATGCAACCCAAAGTAGGCCATGCTGCCTCGGTAACCCCCCCTCCACACACACACACACACACACACACACACACACACACACACACACACACACACATATACACACTGTTTGCGTGACCACCTGAAGCATTGTGGGATATTGGAATAGCCGCCCCCGTCCTTCCTCATCAAAAGCTCAAGCTACTGGAAGAAACACCCACTTCCTCCACATTCCTGAAGGATTTTCCATACAGAGAATAGTAAACAAACCTGCGAACAAAGAGAGAGTTGGTTGGGGGGGCGCACAGACAAGTTAATGTTATTTCCTTCATGTAGTAAATCAAACTAAAGGGCAAGGAGGCGGGCGGGGGAGGGCGGGGGGTGGGGGGGGGCTCTTTTTGCGTGGCGGTGTTCATTGTGAGCAGCGATGGCAGCAAGAGCAAGAAAGGGAGCGAAGGCCTTCATCGCCCTCCTCATCCTCCTACTTGCCTCCCCCCAGCTGCCCACGCACACGCGCACACCAAAACGGGAGAGGTTTGCACACCGCCTCGCCGTGCATGGGAGGAGAGAGGAGCCGGCGGTGGGAGGGAGGCCAACTTATCAGCCTTCAGCATGGGAACCTTTGTGTTGTTCGCCCGAACTTGATGCGGAGGGTGTGTGTGGGTTTGTGTGAAAGAAGGAATCTGTAGAGAGGAAGAGAAAAAAAAAAAAGCCTGTTGTTAACTGACAAGTGCAAACATCTAATCAAGCAGTTAGCAAAAGAAAACAGACAGACAACGGAGAGATTGGCAGCTTTTGTCATATCGCCAGAGGGGATGACAGACACGCGGGTGGTTTGATCCATTAATAACTGGTGTGTTTGTGAAGAAGCTACTATTAGCATTTCACCCCACAGAGCAGGTGAGTATTTGACTTTTCCAGATCTGAGGGCTCACGCTGGCATGCAGCTGTTGACTTTTAAAAAGCGCTGATTTGTACAGTTGTCAGGCGTTTTCCTGCTGGCACACGGGGGCACACGCGAAGCCTTGGCCCCCGCAAAACCTCTGGGCCCCCGCAAAAAAAAAAAAGTTGGCTTCCTACTTTAATGTTCACTCCACTTAGTGCTGACAGTTTCAGAGAGCACGTCGCCTAGGGTCCAGAAACAATACCCCTCCCCCCCCCACCCCCCCCCCTTTGAAATACATTAAACCGGGTTAACCGTGTTGCGGGAGCTGTGGTTGGAGGTGTGAAAAACTCCCCATCTGTTCCAACAAGGGGCGCTCCACTGGGAGTCCCGGCCCCGCTGGCTGATTTGTGAAAAAACACTTTTTTTTGTTATGGGCAAGCCCTCTGGCACAGGACGGGGCGTAGCCGTGGATCCTGCCCCGGCTTGCACACAGGAATGTACTATTGAGAAAGCGCTGCACCGCAAAAACCCTCCCAGTCATTCCAACCCCGTAATCAGATCCAGCCTGTCATCCCCCATCCTGTCTCCAATCTCTCTCTCCCTCTCTCTCTCTTTCTTTCTTTCTTTTCTCTCCTCAACCCTTCTCTCTCTCTCTCTCTCTCTCTCTCTCTCTCTCTATATGAAATGCACACATGCAGAACACAAACACCCGCATACAGAACAAGCACTCAGACACCCGCACAGAATCGAGGACACCAATCTTTACACAGAACACTTGTGAAAACACGGTTCAGAAGTTGCGGAGACTTTAGGGAGAGACAAGTAGATGCAGCTCTGGAGTGATTGTACGGTGAGATAACCATGAGAGTAAACTGAAGCCAAGATGTCACAATATCCACATGTGAATTGGATTCCTGGAAGTTAAAAAGCTTTATTGGCTCTTCAAGTTTTCAATCAACTACCTCTGACTCACCCTGTCCGCCCTTTTGTTCCCGGAACTCATTTCATTGAGACGTTTACCTCCCCTTCTTTTTGTATTGCATCCGGACAGAGGTAGTAGTAGTAGTAGTAGTATAGTATTAGTAGTATTTCATAGGGATCACTTTGCAGGCCCATATACAGGCCTATGGTAGGATCCGTTAGTTCATCACCATGGGAACGAGACTTCGGCCATCTCTAACCACCAAATCTCCTCATGGCTCTCCACCTGACTGGCTGTGAGCGCTGCTGGTCTTTCACTCTTCATCTTTCCATCTCTCTCATTTCACTGGGGCGGGATGGGAATATTTCCTTTAAGCTCACTTTTCGCTCTTCTCCTCACAGGAAACTGACTTGCTCTGCTGTTTTGCTGGCGTTCAATTAACTCTTGGATCACGCGGCCACTCCAAAATAAACCGCAGGTTCGATTGCACAAAGTGAAGCGGGGCACAAGCCCGGGCAACCGAAAGGTGTTTTCAATAATTACTTATTATATGTGTTTGGCGGATCAGAAACATCTGTGGCGAATTGGACTGAAGGAGCCCCAAAACAATTCTAAAATAGGACTGACGCACGCAGGCTCCGAGACACACACACAGACACACACAGTGGAGGGCTACACTGCGCCATTGTCAGTGTGGGTCTATTTGCAGGCTGTTTTTTTAGCTGGCCACAGCTGCGGAAATGAATATCAAATGTGGTTCTGCTCCCATAAATCAAAACCGTTTGCCGTGTTCTGACTCTCTTTCCCCCAGTTTAAAGTCAATTCGCAGAGAGAGTGTGCATTACACTTACACCCCGAGGCTTAACTCTTTCCTCTGACAGTCACACAGCAGTACTCAGGAGCCGGAGGAAGCTTGCTTTCAATGTACATGCATTTGAATGTGCATCATGTATTATGTATGGCAAGGAAGCGTGAAAGGAGTTCAGTATTGACAGTGTGGGAAAGGTACGGTATGCAGATTACAGAATGACATATAGTGGAAATGAGTGGGAGGTTTTCCCAGTATGAATGATAGTTTTATCTTTTGGTTTTATATACTCATTTTCCCTCTGAGAATGTTAACCACAGCCTTTTAAATGTTGGAGTAATACTTTCTCATAATATTCTGAGTAAAATTATAATTAAATTATAGTAATTTGGTTTCATGGTTAAAAATGGAACCGTAGGTTTATCAGGGTAAATTCCAGGGGTGATGTAAGGCTGCGGTTAACATATGTGAGTTCATGTCACTTTTTACCATCATTTACTAAACGAGTTTTGGCATCAAACCACCGGGTATTCAGTACCTGTCCAAAGTTTGGACACCTCCTTCCGTGTTTCATAAATATTCATTAGCCTCGTGTCACGCTTGCAGAGACTCACAAAGCCACACAGTTAAACATGGAATAACAGTAACACAACAATGTAACGTAACGACCGCAACAATGTAACGGCACGCACAGCGGCTCTGAGCAGGCTTCCTCATAGCGTAACGTGACAGGCAGAACAATGTTACCTAGCAAACACAGCAACGCATAGTTTAACAATATTAAAATTGCAAAAGAAATAGCAACCAGCTTTAGCCCACTTGCTTTGGTAACGTTACGTAAAATCACTGTGCCACTCATACAATTATTATTATTTTTTTGATTAATATTATGATTATTCTTGGGCATCGGAAGACTAAGTTGCAAATCTTATGGATTCTACTGTGGAAATCATAACGTTATGTACGTACGCACGCTTGTGCATCTATGTGTGTGTGTGTGGGTTTCCAGGTGAGGGAGGGTGTATCACTCTAAGCGCCGGAGGTCCTGGACTCGGCTTTACGGTGGCTTTTCAGGGATTAGAAGGGATCCAATGCTGTCCAACCTTATCCTAACCTACCGTCCGGGCCAAACCAACACACACACTCCAGATCAAGCTGTGGGACAATAGACCCGGCCTTCTGTTGCTCTAACGGGTCTGGGTGCTTGCTAAAAGGGGATTGGGAAGGCCTGCTCTGATGTCCAAAGGCCCGGCTGGGACGGAGGGAGGGAGGGACTGAGGCATTGCCAAAGGGGGAATGTGTGAGTGGTTTTGTGTACATGTGTACGTTGTAGGGCAGGTTGGAGCAGGGTCACATAAGGCCGTGCATGTGAGTGTGTATGTTAGGGACAGTGGAATGTGAGGGAATAGAGGGGGGGGGGGGGGGCATGCAGCAAGGGGCATCCCATCAATACCAGACCTAATCCCCCCCCCTGGGCACTCACTCACTCACACACACACACACACACACACACTCAAAAGACAGACAGAAGGAAGGGGGGTGAAGTCCATGTTTTCATTCCCAACTGAAATGGAAAGGAAGAGGAAATGTATTCATTCCATTTGATATCACCACACCAAAAGATGAGGGGAATTCAGCATAACTTTTGACGCCATTCTTTCAAGTCAAACATCCTCTGAATCTGGTTGTAGTCCTCATACATCCCATGCAGAAGGGTTGGATTGATTGTGTAGAACAAACTAAGATGAATTACTGACCAGGACCAGGATCAGGGGCCAAAAGTGTCAGGGTCCCTCTCACCTCCAGCTAGGAAGAGATTCAACCTGACCGCAGGGAGAGATAGAATGACACACACACAGATATAAAACAACCACAAACTGACAACAAAATGACAAAAACAACTACAAACTGAATTAAAATTACGACAAAGAGCCACATAAACAGTTAAATCTAAAAATTAGATGATAGTTCCCCCATTCCCCACAATACTTGGTGAAGGTTTTTAGACTCAAACTTATACCTGAACTTTGTCAACTTCAAATACACTTAAATTCATACATGGCCAAAATAGGAGTGATTGAGTGCATCAAAGGTTCTTTCATATGTCTAA